GAGATAAATCGAAATGGACGACGAGTACGTGCTCGTCCAGTGTAATGCGTTTCCGATGATATTAAGAGGATATTAATTCTCTCCTCTATCTCGTCTCACCTGCCTGATGCTCGCGTTTATATACCGATACGCGATCGTTGGTTCGTTCGTTGGTTCGTTGGTTGGTTCGTTGATTAGACGGACTCGACGTTGCGGAAGCGAGAGTAATTATGGCTGCGTGATTCTCGCGGTGTTATTAAAATTTATAGAGGATTCCTTGGTCTCGCGCGAATCTATTGTGCGATTCGGCAATCGATAGTTACGAATTGGCTTTTACCTGTCACCCCTTTGTTCCCGTCTTTAACGTTCGACGCTCTCGATGATTAATATTCATTTACGCCCGTCCATCGAAAGACCTTTTACGATTCAGCCAATTCTCACGGTCGCGCGGAACGAAACGCGCCGTGAAATTTCGACAAACCCGCGCGCGCCATTGTTCGCCTCTCTCGATCTCTCTTTCTTTCTCTCTCTCTCTCTCTCTTTCCACCGATTTCGACGATTTTTAATCGGCCCGACCGCCATGATTCATCGGTTCCGACACTTATCTGCGTCCAAGTTGAACGATACGCGGCGCGCTTTTGCACGAAAAAGCAACGAATAATGCAGGACGATTTCGAAACGGGGTCGCGCGAACGTTTTGTTCGATACACCGTCGAAACGAACTCATATTGTTCCGTAAACCAGCGTTCGTACGCTTTATTCACCAGCCACGCGACGACGGAACCTCGTGCATTGTTATCGTTATCGCGTGCACGCACAAATGACTACGGAGGAACCTTGCCGGAACGATGGATTATTATCGACTATGTCTCCCGTCGGTTCTGAGCAATTAAAAAATCCCAATGAAGGATCATTAGGACGGGGATAACGAAATCATCGCTCACGCGTTCCTCTTTATTCCCCGCAGATTCATCGAGCCCTGTTCGAATTAGATCCACCTCTCGGGAGATCCGCCATTAAATATTCCCGCGACGTGGTCGCACGAATATCGCGTAAATTCCTCGTGGCGCGAAAGAACAGAGACATCCTGGTATTTATACGTAATATCTTCGCTTCTGCATATTCACGAGAGGGAACGCGAATCGCGAGAGCGCTCGAAGCCCTCAAACATCGCGGCAATTAATTTCCCTTTCCTCGAATTTGCCATCGATTTGCCATCGTCTGGCCAAGCAATCGAGCTGCTGAATATGCAAAAATATCCTCCTAACCCGTTCCATCGAGCCACCGGGTTGCCCCGTTCAAAAATAACAGATGATTCGTAAGCGCGTCATAAATCCAGCCGGGCTAGCCTCCTAACAAGATATATTACTCACGGTGGTCGAAAAGCCGCGTGAATATGCAAAGCTTCGCATTTATTCATCCCGGCGGCCGCGTGGAGTCGACCACCGACGACCACCGACGACCAACGACGACCAACGACGACCAACGTACGCGACGAAGAGGAAAAAGCATCGGAGGACGCGTCGCCGCATCGTCCAGCCGACAAAATGACAGTTTAATCTCTGGCGACCGGTGATTAAACCTAAATTCTTAACGAAGTAATCTGCGAGTAGAGGCGCAAACAACCGTCGCCGCGCTCGTGGCATTCGATTCCGGTGGACCGTGTCAACGGAGCATTTAATCGTCAGACGCACGCACGGGGTACCGTTTAAAGTCGTGAAACGCCGTCGTGGTATTGCTCATTAAAGGGGACACTGGGACGATAGTGCCGACGCAGGACATCCAGGACGACACGGTCGACTGTCAGTAGACACACCTGTCAGGCCAGAATCAAGTCGTTTGTTACGTTAATTGCTCTCTCGTGTCGCATGCATTACCGCCGCGATCTTTCACGGTTTACTCCCTGTTCTTCGCTTCGCTGACCCGTGAACTTGCCTCTCCGTCATGCTTCTGTCTCCTCTCTGCACACCGTCCGAATATTCGAACGAGATGATCGATCCATCCATCGATAATTACCGTCGCGAGCCCTAACACGCTTCGAGATTTCGTCGCACGAAACTGGTCAGCGATTAGGATAATGAACGAGGACGAGGATTCGCGGCGGGTCGAGTGTCTATTTCTCCGTCTCTTCCTCTGTCTCTTTATGCTTTTCAACCGCCAAGTTCACCCGTGCAATTATCCGATCCTATTACGCGGCTCGAGGCAAGGGTGGAAGCGTTCGCGCTGATCGACAGGGTGGATCTTCGGTCGAATGATAAAACAGGGGTGTCGTAATACAAGCGGAAGCGAGAAAGGTTGGCTCGTTAAAATAAAGAGGTTTGCTTTCTATCGTCTCCGTTACAACCGGGATGCAGCGAGAGATCGCGGACGATTGATCTTCGCGAATGGAGTTAAGAGTGGCATAGTAATTTATCTCTTCGCCTCTGTAACACACCTACCGGGACGCTTCCAAGTTCTAGCTACCGAGTGCCTCTCCGATTTCTGTTCGAGATCATATTTTCCTGCTTCGACGCTTACCTTCCACGGGAAATCTTCCGAGTTCTACGCGAGGGGTGCTCCTAAAGAGACTCCGCCATTGTCTTCCTGCGTAAGTGATCGAAATGAAATATACGCGACGCGAACGCTCGCAGTCGAGGCTAATTTCTTTGCAGCTACGAAACGATTACAAATCGCGACGTGCTATATTTACTCGATACAATCTTTCGTGTCCTTTAGTATCTCGTGCAGGGTCCCGAGGGCCTCCGCCTTGGCGTCCGCGTGACATTTCGCAGCCTCTTTCAGCTTGGCGAACAACAGCTCCGCGTTTTGCACCGAGCCGTTTAGCTCCTTCGTCGCTTGTTTTCGCTGTTTCACCGCCTGCTTTGTTTCGCTCGCCATGCACTTGACGAATTCGTTCGTCTCGAGACACTCCTTCAGGATCTGTTTCAACGAGCTCCTGAGACCGTCCAGCTCTTCCACTCGTTGCTCGCATATTTCCTTCGCGGCACGCAGTCCCGTGGCAGCCTTCTCGTTGCATATTTTTATTCTCTCCTCGTACCTGCCTTTAACGTCCCGTAGACGGTCCATCTTCCCTCTGGCGCACACCTGCAACGATTTTTATCTCGTTCGCTCGTAGCCCGTGTCATTTAGCCTGACGCGGTTCAGGCGGGTCCGGGAACTTTTCGTATTATAAATTCCAAGTGGAATCCCATGGAAATGCGGTTTAATGCGGCGGACGGAAAGTCGTCGGCATGAAATTTTCGTGGACTCGCCTCGTAAGCACGCGTCGTCCTCGAGAAACGAGGCAGCTGTGGCGGTAATTCTTCCCGGTGTCATCGTTACGTTAAATTGACAACTATTAGGACGCTTGTTGCGCGGTGAACGGATAACGCCTACCTCGGTGGTCCTTCGAACGGCTTCCTCCACCCGGCGTATCTCGTCCATTACGAACTGCTCGTTCCGCTTCACCAGCTCGCTCAACTCTCTGCTGGTTTTCGAAAACATGTCCGACAGTTCCTTTATCTTCTCGTCCATGTCCATCCTCGTCTGCTGGACTATATAAGCCAAACGTCTAGGCGAAACTTTTCCTCGGACCCTCGCTGCTCTTATCTCGTCTCGTGCACGCGTTCACCTTCGACCAATGCAATTACAATTACTTTTTCATATTTCTTTTATTCTCCTTCTCCCTTTTTGCCCCTATCGCCACCGTCACTGTCTTCCGTCTCGTCTTCCATCCGATCGACGAAATCGTTGAGTAATCTACGTTTATTCCGGTTCTACCAGTGCTCCGAATACGGAGTTCTATATTTTGCAATTCTTACTCACCGTTACACCTCTCGTGAACCTAAAGGAGTGATTCGGTCGCAGCAGCTGTTTAAACATCCTACGGGTAACATTTCTTTCTCGATATTACGTTACATCGCGAGGCTAGCCTTCAATCTGCCTCTTCGTCGATTCTCGTGCTATTGAATTTGCAAAAAGGTAAAACGGTGTACCCGATCGAAATATTCCTACGCGACCGAGACGTAATTCCTCGCGCTCGTCGAGCTTCCCGTCACACGTCCGCCATTTTCCCAGCAAATTGCTCGTCTCGCGACGCGTTCGATGAAACAAGAGACCAATCGAGAGATCGAGCTCGATGGGGAACGCGGGAAAGTTTCGTTAACCGAGGAAATACGCCTCTGGTCGAAATCTATTCGCGATAGGACGCGATACGAGGCTATCGATAGAGGGATCAACTTCAGGCTGCGGAATAATTCACGACGGCGGAGGACGTTCGCGGCTATTTATCGAGCTTGACAGTTGTTCGAAAAAAGGATCGCCACCGTGGCTGGAGGAATTATTTATTTTCTTCTATGTGTCCGTGGCGGCCCGAAGCTCGGCAGCCGCAAGCGTAACTCGACTGGAACTCCGTGCCCGAGGCGAACATCTGTAGGCGAAATAGCGGGTAAAGAATTCACGAGAACGATATATTACAGTGACCAAGACCTGACCATAACCGAGTTAAGGAAGATTTCGCGAAGAATTACGTATTCGTGAAAGATTCTTCTAGGCGGAAGGATGTAAAGCGGCGTCGCGACGGATTTAAATCCAGGAGCGCGGGCACGAGGCGTGCGGCGTTTCACAAAGGCTGAAAACAAGAGCTTATCTTTGTCATTAAGTTGAACGCGAGGTACGAGACTCCGTGAAAAGCACTTTCATCCTTTACGCGTTCTTTCGCGTTAAATATCTCGCGGAGCACGTTCCGGGAAAATAAGTCACAAGACTGGTCCTCGTACCCTTTGATCGGGTTTGTCCGATTCGCGAAGGAGGATCTCGCGGAACATGATAAAGTTTTCGGTCATCGTGGAAGAATTTCTTCTATGGGAGGAGTTGCCGAGTCGCGGAGGAATTCCTTAGAAAGGATCGAAGGATCGTGAAGTTTCGGCAAGGGCAAGACGTTGTTCTCGCTCCGCAACGTTTAATCCGCGTGTATCGTGCCTGCTACGTTTCGGCCGAGAAGCACGAAATTTCAGGAATCGAGCGGGGAAGCGTTGGTCCAGATGGGTAATTGCTGGTATAAAGACGGAAGGGACCTGATCCCGATGGAGGAACGAGTGGACCCTGGCCCCCTGAAATACAGTCGATCGGTGATAATCTTCGTGATAGGTGGCCCCGGGGTCGGGAAGAGCACGCTGTGCAAGAAATTGGCCACGAAGTATGGGCTGACTCTGATATGGGTGTCGAATATACTCCGCGAGGAGGTGGCGTCCGGTAGCGACAGAGGCAATCTCTTCAAAGCATTCATGGAAAAGGGTGCAGTAATACCTGCCGCGGTGATCGTTCAGCTAGTGGTACGGAAGATGCTGGCCCATCCGAACGCGCACGGGTATCTAATCGTCGGCTTCCCTAGGAACAAGAAACAGGTGAACATTAGCCGAAGTACTCTGCTCGGCTTAGTCTTCGGAGCAAAGTTTCGAGAAACGAGAAAAGAAGTTTTCTCTCATTCGGCTTTCTTCAATTTACGATCTTGCGATTCGTATTTAGGATCGCGTTTGGGTGGATTGGCTAAAATAGCGTTGTTCGCTTCTTAATAGAATACAATAAGCTGATACGTAGAGTATTGGCTAAGAGAGATTCGCTACGGGCACGCTCGACTTGGACTTCTTACTGGCACACTCTTAGAGACTAGCTTAAAAACTCTTAAAGACTGTTAGAGATTCCTGGAGACTGTTAAAGACACCTGGAGACCGACTCGCCCGCGCCCTTGCACCCTTATTTAAAGCATTCATTCTGTCCTTATCCATACCCAGACTTTGCTTTCCAATCATGCCCCTTTCTCACGCAACCTCGGTGGGCTAGGTACTCTAAGTTGCAGGAAAGAAGTCGTCTCGTTCGGTTGCGTGGCAAGAGGGGTATTCCACTTGTTCCACCTATTCTCTTGTTAGTAATACCCACCCTTCTATGACACTCTCAAAACTACTATCTCCAAGTTCGGTAACGCGATAAATTGACATAGGCGAAAGATATGCGCGAAAGAAATGTTATCTCAAAGTTAACTTACAATGAATTGGAAGCACTACTACGCTTTGGGATGAGTCTACGCTCTTGCATCTACTTTTTGCTTCTGTCTCACTTTGTCTCGTTGCTTTGTTCGCTTTCTTTGTCACATGGTGTTCTATGACCGGGCTAATAGGAAGGGATCAGTTCTACCAATAAGGGAAGCGTTTTACTCTACTTCTGCCATGATGTTAGAATGGTTGGGCTGGTGGGGATTCGGTCCTACAAGTTTCTCACATTTAGATGACTTCTTTCCTGCAACGCAGAGTACTTCGACCACACTGGACGCATCCCTAAACTTTCACTCGACTCTGCCATAAATATTCTTTGCAGTCGATCCTCTTGCACACGATCACTTTCATTCTAAGCCCAGACACACTTGACATTCTTTCAGGGCCGTATTTATTCCAATGCCACACGTATGCGGTGGAAAAATACTGAGAAAACGATTAATCGATTGACAGGCTGTACTGTTCAACTCGGAAGTAAGGCCGCCCTCGTTGTTGATAAATCTGTACGCGAGGAGACTGGTTCTTCAAGATCGAATGGCGAGGCGTGCCTCCGCCGGGGAGAGATTCGACGATACCGCTGAAGCCGTTTGCAACCGCGTGATAAACTATTTCACCAACGTCAAAGGTGCGACCGCGCCTAACAAAGCCGTGATGAAGATGATAGACGCGGAGAATAATCCCGACGAGGTGTACAACGAGGTGGCCAAGCTGATAGAGGAAACGCTGTCGAAGCATTCGAGAAGTTAATACTCGCGATAATTATTAACCTCCTGTAAACTGTACATAGATTAACGATACTTATTTTTAAGCTACCTCGGTGATAGGTACGAAATGAATTCGAAATTTGTTCGAAGAACGATTTCGTTGGTATAATTTTCGTGGATTCGTCGGAAACGATGAGCTTTCGGAGGCGAGAACGAATCCGGCCGCGATCGTGGTCGCCCACGGGACGTTATATCTTGAATGCCGAAACGAAAAAGGAAGAAGATGGCAGCGGGTATGTGCTCGGTGCATTTCGAAGTTACACGATCTCTTCGATTAAAAAGATTTTCAATTTTTGTGGAAGCGTGCGCAGAATAATCGACGTCCTGTCGTGTCCAGATCTTCTCCCTTTTCGAGCTTCGTATTTTCCGTATTTCCTAACCGGAAATTACCGTAGCTACCTCTGCGAATGGATTTCAAGCATATTTTCCGCGATGCTGCCGCTCTTAATACGGTTATCCAGATTACTCTACTGTGCCGTCGCTTATTCTTTCTCTCCTGTCTAGCAGTGTTCAACTTTCCAATAACTTTTCCGCGCTTTAACATTGCTGGAAACAATATTTCGTCGCGACTGGATCGTGGAACACCTGACACTAAAGGGATCAGGCCAATGAACAAACTTTTCTTTCGTATTACCGCAAACTTTTCCCTCTGCCCCGGCAACTTCGGATATTTCACCCCTGACCCATGTTCGGCCATTGCTTTAATTTTTCCGGATACGTGAACGGAATATCCATAGGTGCTATTCCCACCGAGGCTGTCTACCATCTTGGATGTACCTTCCTATAATTTTTAACCCGCATCCCCGTCCATATTGCCGACCGAAAAGACCCGTGAAATAAAGCTCCGAACTCGGTAGAGTTTCTCGAATTTTTCAAATCTTTCATCGAGAAAAGGAAAAGGAAAGAGAAAATGGGAAAGGGAGAAAAAGGAAAGGGAGAAAAAGGAAAGGGAGAAAAAGGAAAGGGAGAAAAAGGAAAGGGAAGGGTGGTAGCAACGATGTTGGAGAAATTATTAACGCAAAGTCGAGAGTTCCATACTCGATCGCGTTTCAAAACCGCGAAGTTCCTTTTTGGCTATTCGAAAACACGAAGCACGTAGAGTTTAAATGTTCAAAACAGAAAATTTACACGGTTCGTCGAACGCGTGGGAGTCCTTTGTTCGAAATAATTGAGAAACACACCGCCAGCACGTTTCGGACGGTCACGTATGTATGTACGGAGACTTTACTTTAACATCCGGCGTCGCAGCCAGGCATCGTGATGCACCGCTAACTATAGCGGAGGAGGCAACAGAAATTCCATTTAAATCTTCTGCAACATCTCTCTAAAATAAATATTTTGAATCTCGTCCCTCTCCGAATTAATCGTCGCACTCTGTTTTCCAATTATTTTCGTGTTATATTTATTTTTACATTTTGCCCTGCAGCTCCATTAAAAAGAGGGAGGGAGAGAGAGAGAGGGAGAGAAAAATGTTACAAAAAAAAATGTGAAAAGAAGGCGAAAAAACAAACCAATATCGCGCGTAACGAAAAATTTTATATAAATTTTAATATTTGATAAAAACGAGGCAGAAATGGTCGCGATGAGGACTCGTTGCCGAGAGTTTCATTCCAGCGATTCGTGCGAGAATCGTAGCGAGAACAATTAAAGAGAACAAAGATAAAGCATGCACTAGCATAGTGCTCGTCCACCGATCTCTCCGCCCTAAATTTTCGATTAGCAAAGGACAAAGCAGTTTCACCGGTACCATCGCGAAAATTGTTCGATTTCGCCCGCTATTGAAATCCAGCGTGCTCGTTCCATTCGAAATGGCGGACGAGAGGATGAAACGGAGCGTTCCGCCGTGGTCTGGGAAACGAAATGTCCCTCTTCTCTCTTTCGCAGCTACGGGAGAGCTTAATCGTGTACCAATGCGGAAAAATCGGATGACTGTACGGGACGATCCTCGCGCTCGCGACTTCTCGGAGACGAGCGACTGTGAACCGTGAACATCTCTAGATCAACCTCGATGAAACATTTACCATTCTTTCGTCGAAAATTAAATCTAACTCGCATTATCCATAAGCTACGATACTTCGAGTAGAGAAAATCAGCAACCTGGAAGATTGACGAGTAGAAATATCTAGCGATCGCGAGTCTCGTACCGATTTGCTGCTTTCGAGCATCGGCTCGATAACCGGAGGATGGGAATTAAATTTTCCACTGTCGGTTTAACTCGATCCGCGAGCCAGTGACTGTTGGCCATCCGAATTTCAGCCACACCGAGTCTCTCTTCGCGATAACGATAACTCCATAGCTACTTCGGCTATCGATTCCCACCAGTTACTATTCGCGACTTCTCGGAGACGAGCGACTGCAAACCGTGAAGATCTCTAGATCAACCTCGATGAAACATTTTCCATTTGTTGTGGCCCTAGGACCGCAATGTCCCAGGTCAAGTGGAGGTCTGTTTTATGCCTTTATTGTAAGCGTCCCTTGACTTGCACATGCTCAGCGTCACCTAAACCACCGCTAGGATAAACCGTGACAAGTACCGATATATTATCCTCTTAGACGACAGGCGCCAGAACTTAAATTGTTTAAACAACCACCACCACCGAAAGACGCTGAAGTTAGTATACACCCCCAATATCATACCAATCAATCAGAAGACGGTCGATCCTTGTAAAACTACCGACAAGGCATTCGTAACAAGATTCTCTCTAAAGACTCCAACACGACCACATCAAGATTCTTCCTAAAAACTCCATCACGACCACAGCATCATCATCGAGACCCACCAACGCTCAGCGCAGGAGACTGTCTACTACTATAGAACTCACTGCAATTCAACGCTAACCAGGTCTACCTCTATCAAGTTAGAGTGGGCCGCGTCTCAAGAACATTGCCGCAGCAGCGTAGCGGGCCTCACGACCCCGCGAAACTCCTCGAATGAGTTGCAGTGTTCGGGACGCAACACCATTCTTTCGTCGAAAATTAAATCTAACTCGCATTTCCTTTATCCATAAGCTAAGATACTTGGAGTAGAGGAAACCAGCAACCTGGAAGATTGACTGTTAAAGGGGTTATTACGCAAGGAGTAGTAAACTGTGGAAAACTGTAGAGAAACTGTGTAAATTTTTATTCAACGGGCGAATGGTCAGAATAGAACTGTTCAGGGCCTCGCAGGTCAAAAGTCGTCTTCAAAAGACTGGTGACAAAAGACGACTGATGATAAAAGACAGAACATTGTGGGAAGGGATCGCCCTCACACCGCTGGAATGTAGAGTTTGCTTCACTATTGAATTTTGCCATAACATTGACGAGTAGAAATATCTAACGATGGCGAGTCTCGTACCGATTCGCTGCTTTCGAGCATCGGCTCGATAACCGAAGGATGGGAATTAAATTTTCCACTGTCGGTTTAACTCGATCCGCGAGCCAGTGACTGTTGGCCATCCGAATTTCAGCTACGTCGAGTCTCTCTTCGCGATAACGATAACTCCATAGCTACTTCGGCTATCGATTCCCTCCAGTTACTATTCCGTTCGCTTTTCTTCCTTCTTCTGTCCGGTCCTCCTGCCGGGGTCCCTCGTGGCAGCGAACGAAACGGGGACAAAGACCAGGAGGATCGGGCACCGGTTTCTACTCCTGTCCGTTTCCACGGTATTGCGACTGTGCGATATCGGATGAACTTGTAAAACTTGCGCAATCAGCCGTGAGATTGCATGTGGCCCTCACCCTTTGTCCGCCATCGGAGCCCCGCTCCATTCCGTGCCCGCGTTTCCGTCCTCGCAGCCCGCTGTTTTCTCTGACCGCGTCGGATGGCTGGTGAACCGCAAACGGTACAAGCTTCCACCGCGTTCCTGAGAACCCTGCTCTTCGCTTGCATTATATTCGAATGATGGTAATCGTAACAGCAATCGCGGCCAAGGAGATTGCGCCAATTTTGGAAAATTTCATCGATGTCGCGGCGCTGCGAAAATCCTCCCCTTCGTGCACTGCATCCCTAAGATTTGCAATTTTGTCCCGAGTGTATCGTATATGCGACGCATGCGCTCTGCGAATAGACGTTGTTCCTTCAGACCGGGGGATTTGCAGATTGCACAGATTTCACAGACTTCCAAGATTTTTCCTGCCCGTTGTTTCCTCGTGTACAGTTCCTCGTTGTTTGATCCGAAGAGAATATTCCTGAAATTTCTCGAGGTAACGTCAGTCGTCGATTTAAGCGATCCTCCGAGAGGTTCGCCAATCCATCAACCATGCTCTTGGTCTTTCCTTACTTCGTATCGCTTTCGGAGTTCTTCCATCGGATATTTATGTTTCCATATTTCTACCACGCGTCGATCAAAACGTCTATACCCGTACCTACGATCCTCGCAACTGTACACGCACGCGAATACAGGGGAAAAGAACTCGACTGAAAATCCGGCTACCAGAAAAAAAGCAAAGAAAGCGAGATAGGGAAACCGGATCTCGTTAAACTGGACGCGACATTCGTTTTAAATGCGAAAAGCCACGTTGCTCGTAACGCGGAATGAAGAGAAGACGCAGTAGCGAAGGAACACGGAGATAAAGCAAATTTTACCCGTTTCTCCATAAATTCATGAAGAAATATGCGGGCAACCCCGACGCGAGGATTTTGGACGAGGTCTTGTTCTTCGATTTCTCTCCATCCCCTTAAATCTACGTGTCTTTTAACCCCCTCTTCGCATTCATCCCCTCTCGTATCTTTTAAATTCCCGTAACCTCGTAATTTATACGATTGCACCATCGATCGGGGCTATTTTTTAAGCTAACTCCGCGTGCCGAACATTCTTCGAATTTCTTTTTCTTTTCACCCTAGCTGCTATCTCTCGCTGGCCCTGCGAAGCATCACATACATTATCTTTCCGTTTTATCTCGCGTTTTCGTCTGCTGCTTCCTTTCTTACGGTTGCTTCCAATTGAAATCTCCTCTGCTCGGAAGAAAAACAGAGAGAGAGAGGGAGAGAGAGAGAGAGAG